AGGCGCGCATGCGCGCAAGGGCAGGGCAGGGCAGGGCAGGGCGAGCGCATGCGCGCATGCGCGCAAGGGCAGGGCAGGGCGAGCGCGACAGAATCTTGAGTGTGTCCCCACAAGAGCGTTTGTCGGCAAACCCAGGGCGGTTGGCGGGCGTGCACAACCTACATGGCCGCCATGTGCAATGCACGCACAGTGTGCGTGCATATGAGGGCATGCCTGTGGGCGGGCGACTGTGACTGTGGGCAGGGCAGCGTGTTTGTGCACGGAATGGGCACTCAAGCTGCCCAGCGCACTTCATGGACAGCCAGGGGCCTGCTCGCGCCGTGACCATCTACACCGCAGACAGCCAGCGGGCCAAGACGCGTGCTGCAGGCATGATCGCCGAACTGAGCCGCTGAGTAAGATGCGGCCCTGCGTCCCCAATGAAGTACCATCTGCCCCGTCCTTTCCCCATTGCCCCGCCCCACCAGGGATCTTCGCCCGGCCCCGAATGAGCCGCATCTTGTCTAAGACTCTGATGTAAGACGTGCAGGAAAACGATGTGCAAACAGACGCTGTCAGTCGAGGTGGACCCGGCGGCTGGAGCGATTGACGGGTAGCTGAACAGCTCAGGCGCCGGCTCCTGTGAAGGAAAGGGGAGTGCGCGTGCGCGCGACGCGTCTTGGGTGGGTGTTCCGGGGGCACGGAGCCGTTTGGGGTCGGCAGGAGAGCCCTGGTGCGCAGATGTATTTGTACATCTGCAGGGACTCACGCCCGCAAGGTTGCACGCAGACTGCTGCATCGGGCCGCCTGCCTGAGGCGTTTTGCTGGGGTGCAGCCGCCCATGTGTGCAATACGCACCCCTGGCCTGCGTGCGGGCCGCCACGAGCGTGCGTCGAGCGCGGAGCGCGTCGCCTCCCAGGCCGCTGGCCCGAGGCAGCCCTCGCTGCGTGGCAGTGCCCCGCACTCCTCCAGCTGGAGAGCCATGAAGCGCTGCACGAGGCGCTGGTAGTGCCTGGATGATGGGAAGTTGAAAGCGGGGTTTCGACGAAGAAGGGAGGAGAGAAGCAGCTCAGCAGCTGCCATCATACATGCTTAAATCATGCAGCCAGACCCCAAGTGTTGGTGCTACCAGGTAAGTCTTGGGGCTTGTGATCTGCCTGAGGCCTGAGGCTGCTCAACCAGGCTGCATGGTTCAGCTGCCCTGGATAAACAGTGATAGCTGCAAATACATTGCCATCACGTTGAGGCATGCGCGCACGTGCGCCTAACACACGAACCTGCATGCACACGCGCGTCCAGCCATGGGCGCACAAGCGCAGGTGTGCAGCTTACCGCAAGCGTACGTGCGCACGCCCCGCCTAGGTGCGCTCACACACGCATGCACACAAGCGAACGCGCGCGGTGTGACCCTCCCCAGGCACGCACGCGCGCACGCACACACACACACACACACACACACACACACACACACACACACACACACACAC